CCTGGGAGGCTGGAAAGGATCCAAAGCAGCCTTCTCCCACCAGAGAACAGGACGCGCAGTCCCCCCGAGAACGCACAACACGGGAACAAGGTCCCAGCCGGCGCTTACCTGAGCCAATGCCTCTTGCTTGTATTGGTGTGGCAACAGATAGCGTCGTATTGGTCAGCCAGCCACACAATAAGGATGATGTAAAACGCCGTGGTGGTGTCATTGAAGAACTCGGACATGATGGCCTCCATACCTACAGGACAGAGGGTGGCTGACATCAGCACGCTGCAGGGCACAGACACCAGTTTGGCAAAGGGCTTCCCAAAGGAACGTGTGAGGGATCCTCGGTCGTGCCCAGAGCCGGGGCTGCGTGACTGCGCAGCAAAGACCACAGCAGGATAAATCATCTCTGTTTAAAGCAGCAGCTGAGGGCAAACACATTTTGCTGCTGCCTGCGGTCACTATGCAGGCCAGAGGATCAGCTGCCTCCAGACAGTGCAGATTTTGGTGGGGTTTTTGTTGCTTGTTTTTTAAATTCAAATTGTGCTAAAGCAAGGTGGTCACAGGAAGCGCAAATCTGAAATGAACTGAAGGGACAGACAAAGCTTCCGTTTATGTGACTCCCAAATGAACTGCTTTTCCAGGGGACCCGGAAGGACAACGCAGCTCACTGTGCTATCAAATTCCAGAGCCTGCCACCTTGTGATGAGTGGACACACCAACCACCTGCTCATTTCCAGAACAGGGAATTATGCTTCCTACAGATCCCAAAGGGACTTGCTGCACGTACACAAGAAGTGAGCCAACGTCCTTACCTACTAGAGCCAGAATGACGGTGAGGAGGGGGGCTGCAGGGAATGCGATTGTCATGTTCATTTCCAGCATCTGTAACAGGTCAACTGCAAGAAGGAAAACAGGCTGTAACACAAAGCGGATGTGGGGCCACGGAGCCCTGCGCCCCCACACTACTCCCCGTTCAGAGCACTGCAACGTGCAGTGTCCACTGTCCCAGGCCCAGCATCCCTGACACTTGCCAAGAGACAGAACAGCTCTCGCGAGCGCAGTGACGGGGGCACAGGGGGGGATATATTCAAGAGTATATACACAATACACTGCGCTGGAGCAGGCACAGTGCCCAGTACACCCTGAATCCCTTAGGAGATGCTTACCAATGAAGACAAAAATCTGATGGTGCGAATAGCGCAACAGCATCGAGACCGACAGAGTCTGAAATATGAGAA